GAGGAAAAGATTTTAGCGATAAAAATTTCAAAGACATCTAAGTCTCTTAGGAGCTTCAGCCACTTAGGCATTTTTAAAATGTTTACCCTAGATTTCCCCTACCCCATTTAAAAGTAGATTTGACTTCCAGACAATAAAAAGGTGTGTGGGGAGTGGGGGGAAGAAGGGGAGGGTTTTATTCTGATTTGGGATGGGACAGATTTCAGCAACCTCAAATATTCATCCCACAGGAATATCTATTTCCCATTTAACTCTAGAGGTAATGCTGTCTTTTAGGCATGCTCAATAAAAAAAAAAATTCTTGCAATTCTGCCTCCTTGCTGCCACACTTTATTGTAATGAAAGATTGGGAGAACACCATGCAATTCTGGTTATACATAAACAGTTTTTCCAGTGTTACAGCCTAGATCACTCTAAAATTTGAACATACTTTTTCATCACCATTACAGAGTGGTGAAAATTCTCCTCAAGAATTAAGCCAGGCTGGCAGCTGGACTTTGGTTCCTCATCCGTTTTGCTTCCTGGTGCCCGTGCATTAGCAGGATGCTGCTGTGTTGGGGTTAACTGTGCTAGAGGGGAATGATTTAATTAAAAAGCAAACACACACTTGTCAGCTGGAAATTTGCCAGTGTTGGCATTGTTTTGTCAGTGGGGCTCCACAGATTATTTTTTTCCTTTGACATTGGTTATACATTTTGTCCTTTATGGCATTGCTTTGCTTTTTTACAAAAAAAAAGGAAGTCAACTGTGATGCATCTGTGATGTAGAGAGAGACCCTTCAGCCACCAAATCCCCTTCATGCCTTATTAGAGAGCTGTTCTTAGCACCACAGGGGGTAAGCCTGATCATGAGGTCTTTTCAAAACAATGGCTCCATCCTTCATGCCTACAGAATTGTATAACTCTCTCAGAGGTTTACCTTTTTTCCAGCATTGCATGCCACTGATGGAAGCTAAGCATATACCACACTACATTTCTCTAAGTATTAACTTGAAATAAAAATGATTTGGGGTTGAATGGCACTACTGTCTTGACTAAGGTAAGCATTTATGGTCCTTAATGGCTAATGTTTGAGATCCTTCAATTGTTTTTTAACTGAGGATTTTCTTCTGAATCTTTCACTTAATTCCATAATGTTATGTGTTTGCACAGTTCTTCTTTGTCTGTATTAACACACATCTGGAATACCAATCAAACAAAGCTGTTTTCCCTTAGAGTAAAAAAAAACAAACATTCTGTTCACATTAGAATTTATATAGTAAAACACTCCAAACTCCCTCTCCCCCCTCTTTTTAAACAAAGCCTAAGTTTTTTCAGAGCTATTATGATGTTTATCAGAACTATTAATGTCATTAGGTATCTAGCAGTATTGGGTATTGTACATACATATGTAAATAAAACCATACTTAACTGTTCTTAAGGCTCTATTCCTTCATTTGACAAAGTAGAGCCTTATTCAGGTCACTGGGGTGTCATGTGGTTGATGGGGCTTGCCAAGGTGTTATAAATTGCAGGATCAGGGCTTATGGTTATAACACAATCACAACTGCCTGAAAGGAGGTGCCTATCAATGACTCTTCACCTCCAATTTATGTAATTGGTGAGAAAGGACCTAGTGGAAATAGTGCACCAATCAGATAAAGACCCTGGATCTAATCTTCCAGTTTCTATGCAGGTACACCATCTACAGAGATTAGCTGGAATTTAACTAGAGGAAAAGTCAACAGAATCCAACTTCATGAGCAAAAATTTGACTACAAGGTTTTATTTTCGCATCTTGTCTTTTGCCTAATTTGTAGCACATTTTTAAGAAGAAATACTTTCTCTGATGCTGAAGAAAAAAATGTTTCCTGTAAGGTTTATGAAGCCTATTTATTTATCTGAGAGTTGAAGACAGTGTCTTGCATCTCTTGACTGCATCTTTAGTTAGATGTCTGAAAAACATTTCCACAAAGCAGTACTATGCTAGTCTTTGTTTAGGATGAAGCCAAAGGAGTCCTATAAACTAAAGACCAAATCCTGTTTGCTTGACTCATGTGACTAATCCGACTGGTTTACATGACTAAGGAGAGCAAGAACTCAAAACCCTTAAACCTTAATCACAAAAGTGATCCTTACTGGCTATCTCATTTTTTTCAGTCCTTTCTGAAGCCAGGCTTCCTACTGGAATAAGTGTGGGCTGGCAGTGCAAGTACAAGCTGTAGAACAGGGTCCTAATTTATGATATATGCCATGATTTCAAGGACAGCAGGAACCTTTTATAGATGTGTAGCCAGACTTTCTGCATAACACAAGCCAAAGAAAGTCAGCCTCTTATTTCTGTTACAGGCCCATAACTTCTTTTTTGAAATATTGCATATCTTAGAGCAGAATATCTAAGTCTTGACACAGACTTCAAATGATGAAGAATTCACCACAACATTAAGTTATTCTACAGGTTAACTAGCCTCTCATTTCTGGTCTGAATTTGCCTGGCTTCAGCTTCAACCTTTGGATGTCATGGCTTTTTCTATCCAGCTAAGGAGCCATTGCCTACCACAGTTGTACCCTGTATAGATAGATACTTGTAAACCATGATCAGGTCACCTGTTACCTTCTTTTAACTTACTAAAAACACCTGCCTATTTAGTTTATCTCACTATAAAGGATGTTTTCCAGAATCCCTCTCTTTCCTGCAGCTGTTTTATCAGTCCTCTCTAATTTGTTCTCTTTTCAAATGTGGACGCCAGTAACGGACACAATATTCCAACAAGAGTCTTGCTAATGCAATATACAAAAGTCATGCCTGCTATTGTTGCTTGATATTTCCTTGCTTGTGCAGCCAAGTATCATATTTGTGCTTTTAGTTGCATCACACTGGGATCTCATGTTCAGATGATTATCTATTATCACCTCTTTTCAGAATCACTGCTTTACAATATATATGTCCCCCATCTTTTACAAACAATCTGCATTCTTGGTTTCTAGATGTATGACTCTGCATTAGGCTTTTCAAGTGAGCCAACCTTGACTAGCAATTCAGCTCAGCCCGCATAACTGACCTAGTCCCTTCATCAGTTACTACTCCACCATTTTTTGTTCACTGCAAATTCTACCAGCATTGATTTCTATAGTTTCTTCCAGGTCATTGATAAAGATATTGAACAGAATTTAGGCCAAAACCAGATCTCTATGGGAATGCCCTAGGAACACCCGCACTAGAAGATAATTCCGTATTTAACTGATATCTTGAAAAGTAATCAAAATCAAATTTTAATCCACTGAATATGGGCTGCACTGATTGTTTGGTTCTCTTTTATCAGCATGTCATGCAGGACTTGAGCAAACATATTAGAGAAGTCTGTTCAGTCAACACTGTTACCTTCACAGATTTGTTTAAAAAAAACTGATGTTTAAATATTTTTTGCTGCTCAGTTTTGTTCATAACTATTTTACCTTTTGGGACTAGGCCTTATTAAAGCACTGTGCGAGCACATCTGGTATTGCTCAGGACCAGGTTCTGTTGGCACACAGTGAATGAATTTAGACTGTGATTGTTTGCAGCTAACCGTAAATTTTTAGTTTAGTGATCACTTCATCATAATCGGCCAGGATGAGGTCCAATCCATAACTAAACATGCATTAGTACCAATATCTTTTTGTACTGAGAAATGTATTCATAGCTTTCAGAAACTCCAAGGATGTCTAATATGCTGCTCCTCCTGTATTTGTAACTGAGTTTTCAGTTGATATAGGGTCCCCTAAGCCTGCCAGCTTCTGCTCATGTGAACTATCAATAACCAAGCAGGTAATGATTTTGATGTTGGGGGCCACACCCCTTCCCTCTGCCTGTTCTCTCTCTAACCAGAGATTTCAACATTCCAGTCATGCATTGTTACTGAAACCTATGGGGGTGCATCCATCATCTCACATTTATTTTCAGCAATGAGTGTTTCCATTTCCTTTTGGATGTCGGGCAGGCATCTTGGGTTTTAGTGGGTTCTGTGCCTGGTGCTTTATTCTCTGTTTAAAAGAGCCCTTGCATTTACATCCTAGACCCTGTCTCCTCACTTGCCAGACAGATAGGAAATGGAAGTGCTGCAGAGACACTGGGAGAGACCTCAATACGCAATAAGTGGTATGATGTGCACTCCTAGCCAGATAACAGACCTTGAATCTGTGTGTGTGTGTGTTTATCATTATTTGTCTGTGTGTGAGGTCTTGACTCTGTGTGTGCATATGTATCAGGTCCTCTGTATGTGTGTGTGATGCCTTGATACATACATACACGCACAAAGAATCATGATGTGCGTGTGTCCTTGATGTGGTGTGTGTTTGTGTGTGTGAGACAGAGAGAGAGAGAGAGAGGCCTTGACTCTGTGTGTATGTGTGTGTCCAGGGGCCCGGGCCACGCCAGGGGAAATGAAAACAGGAGGCTTCCTAACCACCGCACGAATCTGCTTCCCCACCCCTCCGTCCTGCCTGCAGCCCTGGCAGCGGGCCTCCGTGCCCCGTCTCCCCGGGGCTCGCTCCAGGGCGGCGCCCCAGGGGCCCCGCTGGGCCTGACCGCCCC